TGAGGCATATTGAAAACTATATTAAATTACCCTGATTAACAATTTAGCCACGAACAGGGGAGCTTTGGGAGATCTCTATAGGCAGGACTGGGGGCTATTCATGCCAGCAGCTAAGAGGTCGAAAGGTTTCTGAAGTTCACAGGCTCAGAGCCTTTGTTATGCTAACAGACAATCTCAAATCAGCTGCCTAGTGGAGTGTGAAATATAAATGATTCCTTGAGAACTTCCAATAAGTTGTCACTCTTGCTCTCCAAATACCAGGACAGGCTGCTAATTTCTAGCAGGCCCTTTTGCAACATTGCTAGTCCTAAATGAATGCCTTTGTAGTTCAAATAATCTTTTCAAGGGAGCTGTCCTATCATCATAGCCCAAATGCATCTTGGTTTTGACTATTAAATGAAAATCAGGGCTCAGCCGTGCTTGACTTTTCCAAGCAGCCGATGTTTGGGAAGGGTGGTGGCAGCTCTCATGCACAACAAGTTAGCACCCACTGCAGGAGGCCCAGGGCATTAATAACAACCCACAGCCCCAGCTACCCCAACTCTCACCCCCATTCCCTACCAGGAACAAAGCTTCCAGAGAGATTTACGGGGGCTTCCCTCAGGCTGGACTACCTTCCTCTTTCAACCATACCAACATTTCTCAGATTTATGGACCCTCTGTCCAACAGGATGGCCAGCTGACCTGCTAGCATCTGACTGGTCACTTCGAAGAATCAACTTTGGGGATGAACGTATTCATTCTTCAGGGCAGACAAGGCCAAGAAGAAGAGGACAAGGTGTGTGTCCAGGCCATGTCCCTAGTATCAACTGCTTGTAGATATTACCTTATTATTTTCCTCTAAGGATACAAACATGGTTTGTGATCTTGGGTGTGACCTTTGAGCATATACAGATGGATTAAAAAAAAGCCCAGGATCTTTGAATCTGAATACAAATCTTTTAAAATAAGGAACCCCCACCCCCTGCCATTCCAACCTCAGAAGCTGGGGGAAGTGAGAATAAGAATCTATCAAGAAGAGTATGCCCAAAATAAACCTTCTAGTGGGAAGGGACAAGGCCAATTTACACAATGAGAAAACACACCAAATAGAGGCCAGAAACCAAAGGAAATTAAAAAACCATCTGCATCAGTCTACACAAAGGAATAGCAGTAATAACTTAGGTCCTAAAATTTTTAATATTTCTACTTCACATTCTCAACTTTTTGCTGAAAAACAAAAAAGGTCCATAATATTACAGAAGCTTCTGCTTTTTTCAAATAGAACAGGTTTGAATTTTTGAGGCAAGAAATCTAATGGACCACATCTCTTAATACATTCTTGGGGTAAGTTATATAAACACAGAAACAATATTTTTAAATATGTCCTCAAGTAACTTCAGAAAGCTGAAGGATATAGTTATATAGAAAATCAAGGCCCTTGATTTTCATTCTCTTGTTCCTTTAACTAAAACAATTTAAAAATTCTACATCAAAAATATTTTGGGGGACTTTGTTTTGATTGGCATAGAAACTGATTTAAGTAAACACTTTTTTGTTTCCGAGGTATACTAAGATTTATGGCCATATATTCAAACGTGACTTACATATCAGGAAGAATGGTAATGTTTTGAAATCATCTAGCTTACACATTTAATTCTTGGTTTTTTGTTTTTTTTCAAAATCCAGGATACAAACCACAATTCTAAAGGACTCTGGGATTTAGCTCAGAGAATTTGGTTGATAGAGTAGGAGAATGTTTAGGAACCAGGTCATTGTTTGTCTTTCAGATCCTTATTTGCTTCACTCAGTAAAACAAACTGTAAATAATATTGACTAGGAAAATTAGTTTAGATTACTAACATTAAGGAAGTAAAAGTTTATAGTTTCTTCTGCCAAATATCAGAATTAGACAATAATTTGTTATTGATTGGCTCATACTCTTTTCAGAGGGACTTAGCATCCTTGTTCTCCTTATTTTAGAGACAAAATAAGGAGACACTTGGCTTGGCTCAGGACACACTTCTTATAACACAATAAGAAGACAACATTGATAACTGAAAATTTAGTGGATGTGATACAATGAGCTTAAATTTAGCTTTGCATCCTTTTTCAATTTAAAAAAATTTAATCAATATTAAACTATAGAATGTCTACATGTTATTGACACATGCAGGACATTCAAAGAAGAAATACTGTCCCTGTGCTTTCCAAATACTTATTTTACCACTTCGAAGTGTCCTCTCTCTTTCCGTCTTTAACACATCAAAACAGGGAAGAAAGCGCTTTTGTGTTATAACTACAGAGAAAACATTTGAGAATGTGTCAATGCACTGAATACCAGCACCAGTTTGGGGTTGGTTTGTTTTTCCCCCTGCCGTGGTATTTCTTTTCCCTTTGCTTTTTCAGTCTTTAAACTCTGGCCACTTTGAGAAAAGCAATGGTCAAAATGAAAAGTTAGGACAAATTGCATTAAACCTATGTGTTGGCCAGAATATGAGCATGATGAAAGCAGTGTTGGGACATTACAGAGCCATAGCAGCTCTCCACACACTGAAAAATAAAATAAAAATAAAAAGTAAAAGCTGGAAAGCTGGTCTCTTACTTTTTGCTAAATACTTATGATCTAAGAGAAAGGGAATTCCTGTTAAAAAAAAAAAAAAAGTTTCCAGGGTTGCCATTTCTCCATGGTGAGGGGGTCTGACTGTGTGTGTTTGTGTGCGTGCATGTGAGTGTGTGTTTGGGGGAAAAAGACAGAAAGGGGGAGGAGGAAGGGCAGATAACTTTACTGACATATTAATTCTTTAGATAGCAGCAAATGAATGGTCCAAATAGACATTTGTTTCCCTTAATAGGTTTTGTACAGGTCTCTTACAAGCTGTGGCATATGCTTCATTTATATGTATATTTATTTAGAAGGATAGAGAATAATAGGTGCAGTTTGTCTATAGTCGCAGTTATTATTTAAAGTCCAAAGAGGTTACAAGTTTTTTTGTACTCCAAACACAAATACAAAGGTCTCTTGAATATGCCTCTTGCTTTCTGCTGAGGGCCAATTAAAAATAAAGATAATATTCTAACTATTAAGCCTTAGCAAGAGTAAGAATGAGGCTAAAAGGCAAAATGCTTCCAAGATGGCTGCCACTTCCTTTTTCCTCCTCCTTACTCCCTGTTTTCCACACAGAAATTAATGTAATATTTTGTTTAGAAATCACATTGTAGGTCATTTGCAAATGAGACAGCCTCTGAGGCCTCAACATCTGCCTAGAATACCCTCATGATGCTATCGAGGTATGCAGAGAGATTAAAATGCAAACATTCAAATGCAGTTAGGTTTGTACATAGTGACTAGACTCACACACATACACACTTGAACGTGTGAACAACACACACAGCTGCAAATGAAATAAAAGGCCAAAATCCTTCTTAATTCTTAGGACAGAAGGGCAAAGGAGGGCGCCAGGCCGCCACCTACCTCCCCAAAGGTTGGAAAATGCACTGTTCATGGTGTGGATTTGATTTTTTAAAAAAGATATATCTTACTGATGACTCTCTCATTAGGCAGACTTCTGAAGTCTGGGGAGACAAGATTTCCATAAATTATCTCTCTAATTCATCTCATGCTGGTGCAAAATGCAAAGCTAAAAAAAATTTTTTAATTTTTGTATTTTTTAAAAAGAGAGGATATGAAGCTAACCAGTTTCTTTTCAATCTTGTTAAAGGATTTGATCACTAGTAACATTACTATTAATTATGATAAATATGTTTTTAATCATAAAAATCCCACCCATAAAGCTAAATTTGAAATAATGTAGGGAATAAATAAAAGTCTATTTGGCGCTTTCTAACAGATTTATAGCAGCTTACTGTGGAGACTTGAGGGCACTAGGCATAGAACAAAGCAAATGGTTTAGTTCCTATAGGAAATATATTAGAAAGGAAAAAAGGAAAAAAAAAAAAAACCACAACCCTTTATCTAAAAGCCATCAGGGACAAGCACTCAATACAAGTTAACAAGCAGGAACTGATAAGATAACATTTATATGAGGTCAGAAGTCAAATGCCAGTCAAAGGCTTTTAACCTCTTGGGTCATAAACAGGAATAGTTAAAAGTGAGAGGTAGTTATTTATCGGATTTTAAGTGTACCTGATCATCGCCAGAGAATTTCCGATGATGAAACTAATTGGGATTTATAGAAAAAGAACTTTGTAGCTGTTCAAAGAAAATTAACCTACACACCCACAATTCTTCAATTGGTAGGGAGAAAAACAAACAAACAAAAAACCCTTTGTGTGTGTGTGGGGGGGGGACAAATCTGGTAATTTAAACAGTTTTAATAAACAAAGTCTCAGAAGCAATAATTTATGGCTGATGTACATATCAACTAAAATATAGTAAATTATATTTGTACAAATTTAACAACAAAAATAAGCATTCACATAATTTATTTTCATTTTTTTCTTCTTTTTCTTTTACTACCTTTCAGACCTCCTAAATTAGACAGAATACAACTCCAAAATCACAATACTTCTTGCCCTCAGAATGCCATCGTCTATAAATTTAAAATTATATATATTCTAATAGCAATTATTTTAAAACATCAGAATATTGAAACAGCTTAAAATTTTATCTTAATCTATCCAGAGAAACAGATGTCATCTTTTATTTGCTGCAGGAATATTTTTTCTTTGTTTTGATTTTTGTCCTTTTCTTTTTTCTTTCCTTTTTTAGGTTTACATTTCAAACTCCCAAGCATTTCCTGATCCCTGAGTCCATGCAGGTTTATATTTTCAAAGCATACCCACCCTCCTTTTTTTTTCTTTTGCAATAAAAGAAAGCAGATCTAGATATTTCTTTCTAGAAAGAGATAGAGGGATTGTTGTTAGGCCTGCTAAGGCCCACTGTTTCTTTAAACAGAGTCCACAATACACTAGGCGAACATTGTGGATTTAAAATGCTTTTAAATATTTATCACTAGTATTTTATCATCATATTCAAATGACACCTGGCGTGCACTCACCTTTATTGACAATCTCTGTTCTGAAAGTCCATTTGCTTCCTTAAAGCCCCCCAAGCAGAACAAGGACTACCCGTTTTCATTCAGTTAATGTTTAGTAAAAAACCAAGCAACCTTAATCAGCATGCTGATTGCATCGTCAACTAACAAATAATTTACTACTCTGAGCATTGCATTCCATTAAAAGCTCATTAAATTTTCTGTTCTCCAATGGGAGGTTTAGCTTTTGAACTGCATGCTTTTGCTTCGAATGATCATTTATTCAATTTTTGCAAAATGTTGTGGGTTTTTTTTTCCTCCTAAAGTATAGGTAAGCATTTCAATACCTATAGACTGTGAACATATGGAAACACAGCCCAGGGTTTGAGAATGTTCTATTTGATTTATAAACTCTGTTTAACAAAAATTCAACACAATCTCTTATACTTTTAGGACAGCCTGGAAAATTTGAGTATACATGTGATCTAAACATAGCCTCAGAAACATTAATATATAACATAAAATATCAAATCCTTTTTTACGCTTAAATTATTCTTTCCCACATATATTGTTATTTTTATTCTTGTACATAGTTGTTGTCTACTGATTCAAAAGGGGCATGACATCACAAAGCCCTTACCCTATTTGATGCCAAACTTAATACCTCAGGGGGTGGGTGGTGGTGGTGGTGGTGGCGGCTGGTTGCCCAAAGAAATCCACATTTTCTGGGGTTTGCACATTTTTTACAAACCCCTAATCCTCTGAATTATTTTCATGCCCAGACTTGTCTAGGAAAGCATATATTTATTATTTTTAATTTAGGGAAATGTAGAAAAAATATCAGGCCCCAAATTAACATGCATCTTTGGATGGCTAATTGTGCTCATTGCAAATTTGGGTCATTTTGCATGAGTGACTCTAATGTGGGGCTGAGATTGCCACGCAGCTCAGTGGATTCCTGATTCCCCGTGCTAATCCTGAGCTCCGTGATTGTGTCAGGTGCAGTTCTGTATGCTCTAGCAGCTGGCTCATCCTCATCAATGCAAATAAGGCAACTCCTACAATCAGGGCCTCACGAGTGTGAGGCCTGATTGCTGAGGGCAGGCTAAAGCACTACACAGACTCTCACTTTCAAATCACGCTAAGTGACAAGACAACTGCAGTGTCCCTCCAGTTCAAAATCAACCTTTAGAAAACAAAACAAGAAGAAGGGGATGGTTACAAAGAAGAGGAAAACCTCAGTGTTTGGGAAGTGGACTCATTTAGACGGGCTTTATTTAGGTACAGAAATAAAGTGCATTTCAACAAATAATTATTTAGCTCCTATTCTGTGCAAGAGACTTTGTTTTAAGAGCCGTGGGGGATGCAAAGGTAAGGGAGATACAGTCCCTGCCTTCAAGGGACCCTATGATTTGATTGCAGAAAATTGTAAAGATTAAGATAATAACAGAACTATCATTAAGGAGCAGTCACCAAAATCTTAAATGAAAACCATAAAACATACTTTTAACAGAAGTATTTAGAGATAGCATTATGGATAGATTGGAAAGTGATGCTTTAGAAGCTTCGGGTTCAAATCCCAGCTTTGCCACTTACTTCCTTCAAGTTACTTCCCCCTTCTAAACTGTATATCATCATCTGCAAGATCCTGGTAGGACGAGTACCTACTTCATAGGGATCGTAGAAGAATGAAATGAGACTGCATAAATAACACACCACCAGTTTGGCATATAGTAAGTGCTCAGTAATGTCAGCTGTGATTATTATTATTTCCTCCTTAACACACAAAGAAAGGAGAAATTGAGAAATAAAAATTTGCCACAGTTTGAAAGACATTTATTTGATCTTTTCTCTAAATTCTCATTTTACGCGTAGCACTTACTCTGTGGAAGTGAAAATACTGTGAACGCTAAAAGTCCTGTGTCTCCCAGTGGCATCTGGACAACCCTGGCTACTTGGAACACGAAGGAGAGAACAAGAAATCCCTGTGCTTTTCCTTTTCTTCTTTTCCAAACAAGTGTGCAGACTTCCCCTGCATTTCAGCCCCACCCTCTTTATTTTACTGCCTAATCTATAAAGGGGGATTAGCAGCAGCATGCTGCTTTGGCATGGAGCAGATTCTGGGTGAGGACCTGTAGGTAGAGTTTAATGAATACAATTTTCTAGGGCTGTGAGTGCATATTTTTAGCTCCATGCTGGGCTCCAGTGTTGGCTCTTGAGACAGATGAACAGACCCTTTGATCAGACTTACATGTTGCTCCAAGAAGAACCTTTTTCAGAAAGTAGTTGGGGAAAAATGTCTTGTTTCCCTTACTCCTAATTTTCATTCCATAGAATTCAGATTCCAGATAACTGCTTCCCCAAAAGTTGCATTACAACATCGAGATGCACCACTATGGGGATAAAAGGTGCCTTTGGTCAGGAACAGATCCAGTTTCTCAAAAAAGAGGATAGCTGGTGTGCAAGTGTGCAGCCGCCATCCTTTCCCCTTTGAGAGTAGGGTAGAGGTAGTTAACCTTCCTGGGGGAGGTTTGGCCTAGACAACATCATAGACACCATATCCCCCCTGGAGTTAACAAACAATAAAACTGCTTCCTTTGCCAAACACAAAGACTGGTCTGGAGTTGGGTATTAGCAAACAGCAAACTACATAAAGAAGAAAGGAAAGGAAGGTTGTAGAAGGAAGAAAAGAATAATAGAGAGAAGGACAGAAGAAAAGAAAGAAAATTACATTAAGAGAAAAGCATAAAATAAGATTCTTTTTCTTCTTTGGTTTGCCACAGAAAGGACAGCTATCCAGTCTTGTCTTGAGTTCAGCTTGTGCCAGGCAAGGATGGGGAGGTGGAGAAGAAAGAATTTTGATGTCAAGCCAGGCAGGTCAGAGATGACAGGCAGGGTCTTTGGGAAATAGCTGTGGTTTTAGCACCTTGGCATTGGGAGAGTGTGCACAAGATAGAGAAGCATTTGATCTTTTGCATTCCTGCTCAGGACCTTCTCCTTCTCTTTCTAATAGGATTAACAGATATTTTCCTAAGCAGAAATCAAAATGTGTCAAATCATCTGAGACAGTCAATTTGTTCACAATGCCCACATTCTTGCAGTACAGATGCAGCACTATTCAAAAACAGTTTCATTTCAAGAGATACAATGCAGCAGAGAGGTAAACATTTATCTTCATAATCTTACCCTCCTTTCAGACTGCTTAATTTTTCTCAGTTATTTTCCCCTCCTCTTTCACTCCCCCCCCACTCAAGCCCCACCCCAGCTCAGCTTCAAAACATCTAGTACAAAAAGACATGACTTCCCCTGAGGATTCGGATCTCAGTGATCCTGATGATGCAATGTGTGCTCTCCATTATTCCTGAAGCTCCCTGGATGTGCGTCTGTCTCCTGCCTCACAGCTCCAGTTATCCTGATTTTTACCTCACTTACAAATCTTCCTGCGAGGGTTACCTCCACTTCTTCCTCCCACCTCATCCCCTAGTTATCAGAACTCCATCCCCACCCCACCCCTACGCTTCTTTTTTTATTGTTATTATTGCTATTATCATCCTCTCCACAAGCACAGTCCTCTTCTGCTTCTCCTTAGGGAAGCATTAAGTTGCCTTCCTTTGTGCTACCTTAAAACTGCTTGTCCTCCTCCACTCCCTTTGAACACCACAGACCAGTGTCACCTTTGGAACAATGAATGAAAGTAGTTAGAGTAGGATTCCAACTTCACATGTCTGGCATTCCTGAAAAATCACAAGCAGTTTTCCTCCCTCTCCCCACCTGCCTTCCTTTTCATGGAGACTCCATAAGACAGCAGCAATTAGAACCTCTAAAATGAATAGAAACAATAGATACTGGTGTGTTTTATTCTTCATACTTGAATAATAGACGTTTAACAAGCAGAATAAAGACCTGATTTTATTTCTTTTTCTTACCGCTTGTTATAGTATAGACCTGGACTGTCCGCCAAAGGCCCACATGTTGAAGGTTTGGTCCCTAACTTGGCACTATTGGGAAGTGGTGGAACCTTTAAAAGGTAGGGCCTGGTGGGAGGTTTTTGGTAATTGGGGCATGCCCTCAAGGGGAACTGCGGGGGCCCAAGTTTTTCATCTTTCTCTTTTTTCATGTCCTGGCCATGAGGTGACTGGATTGGCTCTGCCATTCCTTCTGCAATCATGTGCTGCCTCACCATAGACCCAAAGCCACAGGGACAATCAATCATAGACTGGAACCTCCCAAACTGTGAGTCAGAATAAACCTTTTCTCTTTATAAGCTGATTTATCTCAGGTGTTTGTTAAAATGATAGATAGCTAACAAATCACTTGAATATTCAACATAGACATACAGCTCTTCAGAAAAGTAGATTCCTCATACTATTTCCATAACAACATATTTTCTATTGATGTATTTTAGATGTTTATTCATCCTTACTGCTCTACATGATGTGATCATGGTGCCAAAATGTAATAAATTTGTCCATTCTTCCTAGAAATCCCTTTCCACCATTGCCTTTCCAACCTGTTAAAAATCTACCCATTGTGCAAGGTCCAGTTACACCGCATCTCCTCTAAGACACTTCTTCAAATCCTCCCATAAGAGTTCTTCTTTCTCCCTCAGGACTTACACCTGCTGTATTTATGCCTCACTCTGTCACCTGTTAGAGTCACTTTAGCAATCTAGATATTGCTGATGTCTATCTGCACAACCAAACCGTGAGTCCTGTAAGACAAAGAACTTATTTCTTCCTTCATGGTTTCTCTGCCACCTTGAAGAGAGGGCCTAGCACAATCAGGTGTGTGAGTGCTGATTGCGGATGATGGCTTGGTCTTTTGAATCAGAGAAAACCCCACAGGTCCCTGTTTTGAGCTTGACTGAATCAGGAAGACATCAAGCCACCCCTGACCCACTTCTTCCACACCATTTCCACTTACATTTGACAGTGATTTTGAGGCTTCACTACATTAGAATTTTTAATATTTTTTCATCTAAATGCTCATCTTTAGTAAATACATAACAAGATGGATTGTGAAGTGAGGGAATTAAAAAGTGCTATCTTATATCTGAATGAATAAATCATTTATATTAGCTCCTCTGTTTCTAGGCTGGCCTGGAATTGGCAACAAATACCTAGGCATCAATACACTTTGATATGGTGTACTCATTTATTATTTTTAAAAAAATTTTTAAGCATCTGACAAGTTGTTTACTGTGTCAACAGCATTGGCTTAAAAAGAAGTTGCTGTGCTACATGTGTTTGTTTGGTTTTTGAGTCATCCTTATTATTTTGGCTTTTATTTGTACGAGGCATTTATCTTCAAAGAATCACTACCACCTCAACAAAGCCCTACCTCATATTTTAACATTTTTCTTAAAATCATACCTTGTTTGCAACCCT